GATTTAGTCTGGCTTATAGTTAGTTGTCTTAAGATGAATACAAGCATCTGAATTTTTGGTACTTAAGCTGCTCCTGTTCTTACTTAAAATAAATTTCATGTGTGAAAATATTTGCTCATATTTATAAGTTGAACCGAATGTAGACAAAATGGCAAAGCCAATTTTTTTCAAAGATGAAAACTTTCTATGAAGTGATGCCCAACATGTTGATATCATGGAAAGATCATAATCATCTGATTTTCCAAATCTTTCTGCACTGTCTTGAATTTATCTGTCAATAACACTAAACTTTTAAAATCAATCATTTCTAAACTAAAATTGTCAACTTTAAGATATTGAAAATACTGCAAATCAAAAACATTTTCTTCTATTTTGTCAGGCTTTATTATAAAAGTAAACATTTTGCCGTGCTTCTTAAAAATTTGATATTGACTTTCAAATTCACTTTTAATGCACAAAATCCAACTTTTGAACATATTAAGATTGCTCTCATTGATATTTTCTTTTTCATGCTGCCCTTTTAACAAGGGAAAGAAATGAAATTCTTTCTTTATGTCTGTTTCAAGTAATATTAATTTTGAAGAAAACTCTTCCATTCCTCGTACATTTTTAAAATTGTGTGGTTATTGTAGGTTGAAATCATCATAATGGTTCATTATGTCTGTTAAGAACAAAAGTCTTAAAAACCATTCTTTATCATTGATTCCGAGATCATGTTCAACAATTTCATAAAGAAATATTTGTATCTTATCAAAACACGATACAAATCTATTAAGAACTTTGCCTTGACTTAATCATCATATTTCTGAATATAATAGCAAATCTCCATATTTTGATTCAATTTCTGTCAAAAAAGCTTTGAAGTGCTTGTGTACTAATGGGATTGTGCTGTTATCATATTTACAGTCTTAACAACTTTTTCCATTACATCTTTAAGTTGTTGCATAGATGTCTTTGCAAATAGATTTTCTTCATGTATGATACAATGAAACGATAAAAATGAGGGACCAAGCTCATTTTCCAGTAGTTTCACAAATCCAACAGTTTTTCCTCTTGTAGCTGGAGCACCATCAGTTGTTATGGAAAACAACTTACTTTTTAAATCCAATATTTGTCCATTTTTGAAATTAGTAAACTCTTGTACTTGACAAAAAATGTCAGAGTGCCTTTCCTCATGCCATTCATAAAGCAAGACCGCAAAGTTCTTCATTGACTTTTGAACTATTTATTGATGCATATCTAATAACAATTGCAAGCCTACCCATACTATTTATATCGGTACTTTCATTGAGTATAATGCTAATTATGTCACTAGATAACAAATCATTTTTGATCTATTCATCAATATTTTTGGCCATATCTTCGATGCAATGCTGAACTGTTCTAGCTGACATTGGCATTTCTTTAATTCTTTCAATGATTTATTTTTTATTTGCAAGTCATTAAATGAGTGTTTGGAACAGTTTATGAATGTGTTTTTCAAAAATTTGCTGTCTGCAAACAATTTTCTGCTGGTATGAATGCTAAGAGCTGCAACAAAGCTGGAAGATGTAGCATGATTGTGACTGGTAACAAAACTCTTTAACAATTTATTTTGTTTTCCAAAATTTAATACATGCTTAGCAGTGTATTCAGATTTTTCTTTATTTGGCATTTCACTCACATTTTTATGTTTTGAAGAAAAGTGTTGCTCAATATTGTAAGTTCTGGCAGTAATTACATCTGTGCATAAAGCACATAACAATTTTTTACCATTTTTGATACATCCATACTTTTCTTTCCACACATCTTGAAATAATCTACGTTTCTAAATTTTTGGCGATGGGCCGCAGCTCTTCTGGAGACAGTTTGTCCCACTCCCAGCACAAGGATTGCTTCAGCGACTCCAAACTTTTGTGATGCTTAGTGCAGGCCCTAGCCTCCAAAATGGACCACACACTGTAGTCCATCAGGTTCAGATCCGGTGACGAGATGAAATCAGACCATTCCGCAGACGAGATGAAATCAGAAAAATGAGCCTTGCACCACTCCTGAGTCTTCTTCGCCCTGTGTGCCAGCGCTGAGTCCTGCTGAAACATCCATTTTGCACCACCAAAATGCTGCTGAGCCCACGGAAGTACCACAGACTCAAGAATGTCACGGCAGTACACGGTACAGGATTGCGGACTTTTGTCGGGTCCTGCAGTGCTACAAGTATTGCCAATATAATCACACTACTAGAGACTGTACACAATCAAAGTTTACATGCAGCCAATGCACAGGGAACCATCTATACCACAACTGCCCGAACTGAGGTGAAGAACCCACCTGCTGCAATTGCCAACTAGCCAAAGCAAGGAACTACAACCACAATGCTCATGATGTGAAATGTCCGTCTTATCAATGTGTCAAAGTACTCATCTCTAGTAGAACCGATTATGGCACAGATCTGTAATAAACTACGCATCCTTCAGAGTAACACACAGAGAAGCATTTCTGCTACTTCTCTCCTTGCTGATCAATTGAAATACTTTGATTTGGTGTTACTTCAGGAGCTATATTGCCGGGCACATAATCCCTCATGCCTTCCTACTTATTGCCCAGTTTTAAAGGGCACAGCCCAGACAGTATCTTTGGGCTGTCACCCTTGTTCTGAACACCAGCCTTTCAATTCTACTCCACTCAAAGCTCAGTAATGAATATATAGTGACCATCGAATTTATGATACATGACAAAAGGATAATTGTTCTCAATGTTTACTTCTTGGGGAGGATGGATAGCAATGACTTCCTATCTGAACTTCAAAACATCATTGATACTTTTCATGGACTACACATTGTACTTGCAAGAGACTTTAATGTGCACTCCCCAGCTTGGGGAAGTGAGCGTCTGGATAGGCGTGGTAGACTTTTAGAGGAATTCTTTCATCATAACAATCTTTTGATCCTTAATAACCCCCTCTCACCTACGACACTTACATCTATCCAAGAGTCCCCTTGAGATGAGCTATCAGCTAGCAGCTCAGGATTTTTCAACAGAGTATTGAACTGGAGAATTCTGCCCGATGATTCTTTAAGTGATCATGCCCATATTGCCTTCGACCTGATTGGACCTCTAAATGTATGTACTCTGGAATGTACACCAAGGCAAAAGTTCGCATCAAACAAAGCAGACTGGAACCAAATCAAAGAGTTCTTGGATAACAACTTGATTAATACATACTCTGAGGATAATGAAGAAGCCGAAAGTCAAATAAACTATAATATAGAAATTATTTGTAGTACCTGTGAAACATTTATACCCAAACAAACTCTCTCCAAGCGTAGTGTCCCGTGGTGGACCCATGAACTTAGTGATTTATGAAAGAAAACAAGGAAATTAAGACGCATTTACCAGAGATGCAAAAATGATAATGATCGGGCACAACGTAAAGAAAACTACATTAATGCTCAAAGAATCTATAAACAAACTATTAAGATGGAAAAACTTCATAGGTGGCAGGAATTTTGCACTGGTACCTCCAAAAATCCATGGGGATACATTACAAAAATGTGCTGTAACAAGCTGCATAAAACTAAAATTATGACTAATAAGAACGACAGTGACAACCCCCATCTCTGATTCAGGCAATGGCTGCCCAGTTGGATTCATTTTGCCCTAATGATGATCCCGAAGAGGATACAGAATGGCAGCGTAAAATCTGTACAGAAAAAGACAAACTTATAAATACTGAAAATACCCTGCCATTCACCAAGGAGGAAGTAGATAGAGCCTTCTCCAAACTGGATAAACACAAGGTGCCGGGTCCAGATGAAATAAATACTGAAACAGCAGTCTACCTCTGGAAAATTATACCAACATATCTAATTGACTTATACAATGGATGCCAGCAGCACTCTGTTTTTCCAAAGGCCTGGAAACAGGCAATGATTGTCCCTGTGCCTAAGCCTGGACAGAACAGTGATTTTAGACCTATATCTCTGCTACCTATTTTAGGCAAGATATTAGAAAAACTTATCAAAAACAGGTTAGAATGGTACATTGAACATCACCACAGACTAAGCAACACCCAATTCGGTTTCCGTCCTCAGAAATCTGCAGAGGATGCTGTTCAAAAATATACAGAGCCTTCTATAAATACGTCCTAGGGGTCAGCCTGGACATTTCAAAGGCCTTTGATAGTGCCTGGTGGCCCCTAGTGACTCAACAACTTCGTCATGCTAAATGCCCACAAAATCTACTGAAACTTCTTCTCAATTATTTCAAAGACAGAGAAGCAATTCTAAAATATGGCCAGCACAAAGTACATAAGAATATTACCAGAAGATGTCCGCAGGGGTCTGTGTGTGGACCCCTGCTCTGGAACTTAACTTTTGAAGCCTTTCTCAGGGAGAGCTTTGGACAGAATTCATGCACAGCATATGCAGATGACGTGATGATGCTGATTGCTGGCAGATCGAGAGCAGAACTAGAGAAGAAAGGCAAAACAGCATACATGATAACATGAACAACGCAGGATATTTTCAATTAAAAATTGAATTATGACTATTTACAAAAAATTTTTTAATTTTTCGAGTCTATCTTTCATCCTTTTAACACACCACAGAAGTAACAGTATATTGGCCTGGATGAACTTCCACAAGAAAGATGAAAGATAGACTCGAAAAATTAAAAAAATTTTTGTAAATAGTCATAATTCAATTGGTAAAAATTTGAACTTTCTTTGTTAAATTGTTTCTGCATTTTCTAGGTAAATACCTACTGATTTTCACAATGATACTCTATTCATCTCCTTTCCAGAGACTCTGGAATAAGAAAACTTATTTTATAATCATTTGATATATATACATATATATATATGTGTATATATACATATGTATATGTATAGAGAGATGATAAAACATGATTATTAATAATTTTACAGTTTTATTTTCATGATTTAATTATAAATATTTAAAAGATAAATATGCTTTTAATATGATGCAGTTAATTGTTTTAAAAGTTCTCATTGCATTTTTCAGATCTGTAGAAGTAGAGGAACCTAACTATACTGATTACACAGAGATAATGAAGTCAATGTAAGATAAATTATTTTTAAATAATTCAGATTTCTAAGTTAATTATAAAATAAAAATACAAAATTATTTTAGTTTAAGTAGTACAGTAAAACCAGAAAGTGAGCAAGCAGAACAAAATGAACAAGAGATTTTTATTGATTTGCAGAGTAATTCAATGTAAGAATTTTACTATTTATTGTTTTGTTTTAATAAAAAGAAAATTATGTAAAGAAAGTAATATATTTCTATTTGAAATATAAATTAGGTCAGTGATAAATCTGTCAGAACAAGATGCAAATTGTAATGACTCTAATGAAGAAAATATAATGTAAGATTTAATATAAATATACTTTGAGTTTTATTAGAAATTCTTAAGATTTGTTTTGGTGATAATTAGTATAAAGTCATTTAATAAAAACAGAACTAGATTTGGTGTACGTAAACAATTATCATTTGAGAATAGATATTGTATTTATATGAACATTACATTGTCAAACTAGATCAAGCTATTGTATATCATAGGATTATCATTTCTGCATTTTCTTGAATTAAATATAATTTCAACAAATTGTATATAAATCCTTGTTGTTATTTTGTTAATTCTTTAGATTATTCTCTTACAAAAATTTGATATCAGATGTCTTTTTGTATTCTCCTCTAATATAAGAGATGAATAAATTGTTTTCTCTTGGTTAAGAAATTTGCCTTTGCAATTTCATTATTTAACAAAACTGTTAACTCATAGCATAAGTTTGATATTTTTTGACAAGTAATAGAAACATAATTCTATGGTATATTAACTTTTTTTAATGATAAACATATAATTGTCTATCATAAAATAAAATTATAATAAAAAAATATAAAATTGGAGTCTATAATAGAATATTATAAATTAAAAAGTATAACAATATTTAATAAACAGGGTGATTCACTGTGGCATTATTATTTTTTTTTTCTATTACCATTGGAGATAGGAAAATGGGACTAATTACCAAGTTTATAGAGCAGATGAAACAATTTTACTGATGTTGGGTGACCTTGAAAATCAGCAGGTTTTATCAGACAACAAAATAGGTTTTTTTTTTTTTTAAATTATAAGCAGTACTCTAAGCCATAATATGGATTGTATATGACAAAATAAACACCTTTTGTAATAGGTTATATTTTCTTAAACTTAATGGTTTTTAAGATATCAGCCAGTTTCTGCTAAAAATCTGATTTTGCTTTTTCCTGAAAGTTTCTATGCTGGAAACTAAGTTTATCAGTTTAATTTTCACAAAGCTTTACATGACAAAAATGATAGTAATGAAAGTACATTTCAAAATTTATTTAAATTAGATGACTAGATGTTTCACTCTTATTGCTGAATATGTTTCTTATTATGTCAGATATAAAACAACTAAATTTTTAAATTGTTTGTTTTCAGTCTGTTTCAAAATAAATGGAAATCTATGCTTTTTTACATTAGATTTATATATTAATATTTAGTATTCTGATTTATTGTTATTAGAATATTTTGTAATTTTGTGCTGTTTGCTTATTGTTTTATTCTATATTTTTTATATATGATTTTGTTTTAGTTTTTTTATATGTTATTTTAAAATACAGTAATAATTTAAATAGTTTTTTATGTTTTCTTTTTATTTTTGTTTTAACAAATGCTAGGCATTTTTATTATTATGCTTGATAAACATAATAAACTTGTTGGAAGTATTTATATTATATATATTGAAATGTTATTAAAGAAAAGTCTGTTTTCCCTAGTAGCATTTTTATAGATTTGGAAAGCAAAATTGATAAATATTTTTATTTTGTACATTTATGTAGCATCAATTTTGGATTTTCTTAATATCAAAAACAATTATATAATGTTAAATTACAATAATAGCTAAATTGTAACGCAAATACTAAATAAAATATTTTTACAAAGCTCTCTTCTAAATAAGTTTACTAAAACAAATGTTTTCTTTATCCATAACTTCATTTATTGATGAATAATTCTCCCTTTAAGACCACATAAACATTTAATTTAACTTAATCAAATTAATTTCTATAATTTATTATTAATAATAATTATGAACAATGTGTAATTTAATTAAATTTTCTTTACTCCCTCTATTGTTCCTGAGTTTTTTCCTATATATACACAAAAGTTTACTTTAAAGATTTGCAAATATACACACCAATTGAAACCCGATATTAAGCAAATATACACCCACAACTGCCGTAAATGATTGGGCTAAATTTGGATATAATGATTATAAATTAGAAATGAATTTGGCACTAGAGTGAGGCATTAGGTGCTATCTCATATTAAAATTAATAATTATAATATTTAATTAATTAATTTAGATTAAACTGGAGATAGCCCAATCATTTATGGTAGTTGTGGGTGTATATTTAAAGATTTGAGTGGTTTTTATTTAAATAAAATAAAATTTATTGCACGTCTCTATGCAAACACAACACAAAATTTGTAATTAATTCATAAATATTCTTGATATAATATGCTATAGATATTCTGAGATAATTATTTGAAAGAGAATAATTATCTATCACTGTACAAATATAATGTTATTCTATAAATAATATAGCTATAATAGTCTTTTTAAATTCAAAGCCAAATTTTAGTTGATTATACTAACTTTTTACTACGATCATCATCAAAACCTCATTTTTTACATCTTTAATAAATTAAGTTGTGCTAATGGAAATAATTATTTTATTGAATTAAGTAATTTAATTAAAAAAATAGTATTTAATTAAAAAATAAAATCAATTTTTTTCAGATCCACAAGTCCAATAAAACAAGAAAATTCACCAGATGAAGATGGTGAACCTGATATTTTATTAAACATTCAAAATAATTCAATGTAAGCAAAAATTCTTAAAATTTTAACTTTTCTTGTTATAAATTTTATTTCTTTTGAGTTATGTAAAAATTCTTTTAAAATTGTTAATTAATTAATTAATTAATTAATTATTAATATGGTAGCAACTTCATGATAATGGAACATTATATTCTGCAAAACTGCTGTGAATATTGAAACCCTAAATAGACAAATATGTCAAAGCAAAATATGTTGAATCAGTAAGGTTAGGAGATTGGAAAAATAGATGATATAGAAAGTAAATCATATTTCAATATAAAAACAAAACAAATTCTATTTTATTGTAAACTAAAAGATTAAAATGTTATTGTAACTTACTTATTTTACATGTACTTATTTATTCTTAAAATTTTTAATTTGTTGGTTTTTCTTTTATTTAGAAATCACAACAGTTCCTAATGTTCATTCTTTTATTCCTCTTGATATTTTAAGACTCTTATATGAGGTATTATGTAATGCATTATTTTCTTAAAATTTTGAAATTATACTTCAGAAACATGTTTTTCAATAGTCTTCATAACTTGCAGCAATTTTATTAAATATTATTTTGTTTGTAAATTTTTGTCAGATGGAGATTATTTTTTAATAAAATTGAAGACAGTCTGTCCAAAAAGGGATCACCATTTATTATTTCTGTGTTCCAGATAATACACATTCTTGGCAACTGACCTTTCCTTTTAGGCTACTTGTTGCCAGAAGTTTAAAAAGTTCTTTCAAAAAACACAAAATATATATCCAATTAAAATTACAAATAATTTCTAAAAAAGGAACTGTGACATTCAGACGTCTTTTTTGCATTCATCATACCTTCATTTGGGGTGATATTGCTTTTATCTACTAAAAAGAAGCGCTGGAAAATGTAGATTTGATGAAAGCTGTCCCCTGGTTATTTTGATTATTTTGTTTATTAAAATCTCTTAAAATCAGAGAAATTCTTTAAAATCTTTAAACAAAATGAACTACACAGATTAGTTTATAAATAGCCTTCATCATGTTTAAAAATCTGATGAAGGCTTATTAATCAGGGCAAAAACATTAGTTTTAATCAAAAATTAATTGCTGGAAAAGTGTGTAAGGTGTGTTCAGTGTCTATATATTGTGTAGTTCCAGGTGTATATAAAATTCCATTACTAGATACCAGGCTCAATTGAAACTTTGTCTACATAAGTTCAACTAATAGAACATTAATGATCAGAGTAAGGGAACATGTGTAAAACATCTCAAAAATGAATTATAACACTACTCTGGCCCAATTTGCTAGTGCATCTGGGATGTTCCTGTGTTGGGATGATGCTAAGCTTTTCCACATCACCTTCAATATACAACAGCTAAGAATAATAGAAACTATCAAAATTTATAAAGCAATACTCAAGAGAAATTGCATTAATAGTAAAGAAAATATTAATTTATTGTAAGCGTGGCAAGCAGTCATGTTACCTCTGACAGTAGTGAACTTTAATACAATGTTGTAAATTTTGTCACCTCAGTCACCAGTCATTAATAAGTGTGTTGCAACATTAAAAAAAAAAAATTTTCTAGTCTATCTCCAATCATATTATGGAAAGTTATGTGCATATTTAAAAAAAAATTTATTATGTCATATTTCATTGTTATATACGTCACATTTATGTTTTGAATTTGAATATTGTCATGTGGCACATACAATGTTCAATTTTTTAAAAAAAAGCTGCTCAAATAACATTAGATTTATGGAGCAGTATATTAACTTGACAAAGATCTCTGAAAATGATTGAAAACATTAGATTGAATGTAAAAAACAATAAAAAAATTTGCTGGAACCAATATGGAAGGTTTCTGTGAGTATTTATATCTTTTTTCCAGCTTCTGAGGTGTTACATTAAATACCATTACATACCTCACATTAGTAGATATTTTATTTTATTTAATTTTACCATGGGCTAAAAGCAATCTTTGTAATAATTTCTAAGGTGTATTTTTAGACTTTAAAAACTTGAACTGATGGAATTTGAAGATTGAATGCTATTATGTTGTCAAAATTAGCAACTTTCATTGGATACATACTGGCTCACATTGACAAATAATAACAGACTTGTCAAGCTCTGAAAATGGATTCCTCATGCTTGTAATGGATACAATTACCCTTTAATGTAACTTTAAAAATTTCCTGAGCCTCTAATAGCTCTAATTTGTTCATATCTTGCTGCTGTCCCGAGAAGAGTGTCATGTTGCAGAAAGGAATCACTTCTTCATCTGAGAAGAATTTTAGTTCTTGTTGAGCACAATGGAGAACAATGGTATGAAATTGTTTAATTTTTCTAATGAGCTTGCTTAATAATAGGTTTTAGAATTTTTAATAGAAATTATTTCTATATTTTATTTAAAAAAATGTTGAGGTATAATCAGAGAGGGCAGTGGTGGCTTTCCTATGTGCTATATTTTTAACCTATTTCAATAATGACCTTTTTCTTGAGCCAATGTATACTAAGTCCCTTTCACACCTATTGTCCCATATTGGAATTTTGTACACTTCAAGGGCTCTGTGTGTGTTGGTGGGATCCTTTGCATTTTCAAATAATAGGTGTGATAAGGACTTAGTATAAATTGGCTCAATAAAAAGGTTATTATTGAAACTGGTTAAAGAACACAGGTATGAGTAGCACACAGGAAAACTACCACTCTGTTTACTCTGTTTACACCTTGGATAAAGAAGTGATTCCTCTGCTGTAACCTGACACTCTTCTCAGGATGACAGCAAGAGTCAAACACATTGGCGATATGGAGGCCTTGAAATTTTTAAAGTTACATTAAAGGGTAATTGTATCAATTAAAGCCACGAGAAACTTGTCTCCAGAGCTTGGCAAGCCTGTTATGATTTGTCAATGTGAGTCAGTATGTATCCAATGAAAGTTTCTAATTTCAACAATGTAATAGCATTCAATGTTCAAATTTCATCAGTTCAAGTTTTTAAAGCTCTTGTTTCATTTATGTTGGCATTCCATTTCAGAACTCAGTTGTTTCTGAGGAAGGCCTTTGGTGTAAGCCAAAAATGTTTGAACTGCGTTTTTTACCCTGCTGGATTGTTACTGAAATGTACTGTACAGTACATAGCTATTGTCTTGTTTAAGTATTTGGTTTAGAAATATATAAATTTATTATCCACATAAGTGTGTGTCTTGACTCCAGAAACTACAAATTGCATGTTGAAAAAGTGAATTCAATGCATACTGTACTTAAGATAAAAATATCAAAAATTGTTTAATTGTTTCTTTATCTGTTGTTTCATTACTTTTGCTAATCCTTCTGTGAATAAGAAGATTATAACTCTGCCAATATAGAAAATAGCTGTAAATACCAAACTGCAAATGTGTGAAATGCATGAACAAAAAGTGCTTATGAATATGGAGCTTCTACTGTACGTTAAAAAAATATGAAAGAATTTATTGCTATTGAACTGAAAATTATTGAAATATTTATTAGTCATTATTTGAAGTGAAAATGAACCTCATTATTTGGTTGAAAGTAGAAGAGATGATACTGTTTTTTTCTCAAAAAATAATAATAATAATAATAAATATTAAGTAGTAAATAATCTTAAATATATATAAACATGCAATGAATATTTGGTTATTCCTTTTTTGATGTTTAACCAAAACATCTGATTAAATCTGAATTGTACATCAAATACTTGATATACTGTATTAATTAGATGATGAATGCATATGATTTTTTTAAAAGTTACATTAAAGGGTAATTGTATCAATTATAGCCATGAGAAACTTGTTTCCAGAGCTTGGCAAGCCTGTTATGATTTGTCAATGTGAGCCAGTATGTATCCAATGAAAGTTGCTAAATTCGATTTGTAATAGCATTCAATGTTCAAATTTCATCAGTTCAAGTTTTTAAAGCTCTTGTTCCATGTATGCAACTACAAGTTCTTAGTAAAAAATAATGATAATATTTTTCTTCACATTTAGTAAAGTATGTTAAGTAATCACAATTCTAATTACAAAGGCAATGTTTAATAAAATAGGATTTAAATTAACAAAATTTTACCTAAGCATTTAGACTTATTCAGGTTTTAAACATCAAAAAATAAAGTTTTGAATTTAAATAGCATTCATTAGAATGCTATTTAAAGTTCAAAATTGAACAGTATGTTACAGTAACTAAATTTATAAACAAAAAGAAAAAAATGTAGTTATATGTAAATTCAATAATAGGAAACCAAAAATTATGGAAAATATAGATATTAATTAAGCAGGTACAATAAAGATATAATAATTAGGATTAAAAATGTTTTTCTGTGTTTTTCTACCCTTTTTGGCAAGTTTTAACTTTTATGTTTTACAGTTTTACCACTTTGTTTTAAATACTTTGTTTAAATACTCCAGTACTCATTTTTAAATATCATTTCAGTTTTATCAGTTTGTATAATGACTGAAGAGAGGCAAATAGCCCAAAATGCATTTCCATTGTACAAAATAAGCACAAAATTGCTATAAAATAGTAAAATAGACTATACTTCCAAAGAATCTGATAAATGAATTAAAGAATTTATTAATCAGGATTAGCACCTGATTTCAATCATTAAAGTGAAAACTTGTCTGTTTCAGAGAAAGTATCAGTCATGGCAAAAATAAGCCATTTCTTGTATGTTTTATTTTTTAAAAACAAAATTAATTTAATATCACAAAATATTAATCTTAAAAAATGCATTTTAAATTTAGTAACATGTTTTAGAAAACATTTTATTTTGGTTACAATCAAATTTAGATTTAAATGCAATAGTGAGTTAAATTAATGAATAATAGTCAATATACAGTAAAACTTCTCTAACTGAATTGTCTGTAACTCAAACATTTTTTTAACTTGAACAAAATGAAGCACTTGGTAGTTCTCAACAGAATAGCATAGGGATTTAACATCTCCAACTTGATTTTCCTTAACTTGAATTTTCTCCAAGTCAAAACTTTTCATGATCCCGACATTGATTTGTGTTA